ACGACACCACGGCTAACGACACCACGGCTAACGACACCACGGTTAACGACACCACGGCTAACATGGACACGTTGGACTCAATTGCACATGAAAGAAATCAGAGTGTGTGTGTATTGATCATTTTGTATTTAAAGCTGCATACTTTATATTCACATACTTTATATTCACATACTTTATATTCACATACTTTATATTCACACACTTTATATTTACATACTTTATATTCACATACTTTATATTCACATGGAGGGGACCCTCTCTACGGAGGCCGCCATGTTGTTTACATTAGTCCAGACTGGACAAACTAAAGCTGTTGAAGCTGCCACAGGTTCATGTTTGGAGGGGGGGGGGGTGTTCAGCTGCAAAATGCAATATCAACACTAGATGTCACTAAATTCTACACACTGAACCTTTAAGCAGTGACCCGGTAACAGAGCAGGATGTTTTACAGAATAATAATAAACTCACCAGTGTCCTCTGGTGGACCAGCTGTGTAACGACACTGTGTAATGAAACACATTCTGTTTCTCTCTCTCTCTCAGTGTGACGGTCTGAAGGGCGAGCTGGCGGAGCTGCAGCTGATGTACGACAGCAGCCAACGAGAGCGAGCAGCGCTGGAGCAGGAGCTGCGACGCTACAAGGCCGAGCTGCAGAAACTGACGGGCGGGAAGTCACGGGTGAGAGGTCAAACGTCAAACGTCAGGAATATGTTTTCGATAAATGTGTTGGTGAGACGAGTTTCAGAGTCTGAAGAAGAAGAAAAGAATCAGAAACACGGAGGAGGATGTTGTTCTCATCGTGTTCATGACGTCTGCATGTGGCTCAACACGTTTCTTTCATCATTCTGCTTCCTGGTTTTCAGGCTGCGTCTCTGGCGTCGGAGAGTTTTGTTCGGCTGCTTCTCAACAGTTTGTTTTCCTCATGTGTCTGTTTGTCCCCGAGCCGAGTGTCCCGACAGCAGGACAGAGCCGAGCTCTGATTGGCTGATGCGTCACACGAGGAACAGTTCAATACAAACTCGTAGGATTCTTGGATTCACTTTGTTCGTCCTCATCCTTCTGCCGATGAATCAAGTGACTCATGCCCTCCTTCATCCCAGATCAGAGTCCTGCTCCTCTTCATCACATCCCTCCCCCGCTGCTGCTCCTCCTCCTGGTCGTCACAGATCTTTAAAGAACAAGATGTGGATGTTTGTAACGTCTCCATTTTGTCTTTAACCATCTTTGGTCTCTTTCTGTTCTTTACTAAATGAACTTGATCAAATTCTCTGTAAATTTGATGCTCGACCGTCTTTCTTCCTTTTTCTGTCCATCTTTTCTTCCTCCATATCAAACCTCTTGTTTTCATTTGCCTGCTGTCGTCCTTCACATCTTTGGACTTTATTCTGATTATTTTATGGTTTTATTTCCTCTCACCCCCCCCCCCCACGCTCCTGCCCTCTGTCTTCTTCCCAGAACTGCACTCGTCCGTCCGAGCCCCCTGTTCTCTCCGCCCCCTTCATAGGAATGATTGTTATAGTGGCCT